TATCAAACTCTTTTGTGACATAGCTCCTGAACTCGTTGAGTTGTCGGTCAGAATTCTCTCTTAACTCATTGAGAATCTTAATGATGGCTGTTTTGAAGTCATCATCATTTAGGTTATATATCTCATTTTCTTTGGGATTGTTTTCTGTGTATTTGTTACTTTCTTTCTGTTCTGGAGATTTAATGTATTTTTTCATATTGCTTGATGTTGTTGATTTGTGCCTCCACATGGAGATAGAGTTTAGTTGCTCCTTTCACTTGTTTCAGCTGCTGCGGTGGGGGGAGCAGCTGTTTATACTTCACCAACCAGGAACCCTGTCCGTAGTTGCTAACTGGGCCTGGGCCCCTCTTCGTAGCCACAGTGGCCCTTTGGATTCCCTCCTCTGCCGTGGGGGCCGTCACAGGGGGGCTTCAGGCTGCAGGTGCCTACTGTTGCAGCCCACCTAGATGTGCTCTCTCCTTGGGGTCTGCAACGGTGTTATGGGCTTTTCCAGCGGCCAGGGGTGGGATCACTTATATTTGTCGCTCCGTTGCTGTTGGCACCCACCAAATCTCACTTGTCCTCTATGGGTCGCAGGAGAGCTATTGGCATCTTCTACAGTCTGTGGTTAGTACACCTAGCTATGCTGCTTTTGCCCTGGGGTCTTCCAGCCTTGTGGCTGGCGGCTGGGTGCTTTCTACTGGTGCTGTGCAGAGGCTTTCCCTAAGGCTGCTGTGAGCCTGTAGGGTTTCCCCCTAGGCTACTAAGCTGGGTCTCTGGAACTCTCTCCAGCCCCAGTCCTCTCCGAGATCTCCGGCGATCCCTAGCCTCACGGGGTGGGCGACGGCAGCTGGGGGTCGCCCCGCCCTCTGGGATTCTCTCCGGGCCTCTGCCGGGAGCCCTGAATGCTGGGCGTGGCCCCTCTGCTAATGGCAGACAGAGAGTTTTGTCTGCTGCCTGGCGGAGCTCCGGCGCTTCCCCTCCGGGTCGCAGAACCGGCCTTTGAAAGTTCCCCCAGCCCCGGTCCTCTCCGAGATCTCCGGCAATCCCTAGTCCCACGGGGCGGGCAACGGCAGCTGGGAGACCTCCGTGCCCTCCGTGTCTCTCTCTGGGACCCTCCGGGCACCCCGAGCACCAGGCTGGGTCTCCCCGCGGGCTCAGGTGTGCAACTCCAAAGTTTCCCTCTGCGTTTAGGAGTAATTGCGGGGGGTTTAGGTAGGGTTCTGGTCACCTGTTTCCACCGTCGCTCCTCTGTTGTGTTCTCGCTCCTGCCCTAGATGTGTGTGGATCCTCTGGGGGTGTCCGTTGGAAGAAAGCCGCTTGCGGGTACTAGGCTGCCCGTCGGGGTCGGAGAGTTTTCACCTATTTCCACATCCTCCTGGAGGAAAGTCCATCCGCCTTCCGATGTATAGTCGCGTGGGTGTCTCAGATGTCCTGAGATGCTGTCTGGATATCCTTTGTCAAGCGATAAGTGTCCAAATAATTGTAGACTCGAGGGGCAAGAGACAAAGAGGACTACTCACGGCGCCATCTTGGCTCTTCTCCCAACCCAAGTAGCTTTAAGCAGCTTATTTAAACTTGAAATTCTCCCATGAAGACAGAAATTGACATTGATAATCAGGAGACCAGAGACTAAATTTTCCAATTTAACAAGTATAAGAATGATTCCAAGTCAGAAACCATTACAACTGGAATCAAAGTTACATCACACATGACTGAATTAAACTCTCCCAAGTTGGATAAATAGTTGAAATGTAGGACTAGCCATGTTCAGAAGTTTTTCTTCTATTTCTGCTTTATTCTCAGTGCTGAAAATGTGTTTCTGGCACTACATGCTTCATTCCATTCATTGGTTGGAATCCCTTACCGTTTTTTGAGTATAACTTGTAATAATCCTCCTGGCGATACTCTATCAAGTAACTCTCTATCAACAGTAGCTTAGCTCTATACATAACCTCAGGTACTGGTCTGTATGATTACAAAGAAGAGATGTATAATTTTAATTGCCGAAGAGCTTGCAAAATTATTTTTATAACAAAAAAGTTGTATTGATTTGAGTCATGGATCACCTTATTTCCTTTTTTAATTGTCAAGAAACTAATAAAACATTTAGAGAGAAATATTCTCCTTCATCAAGGTCTTTTCTATATTGTGTCCCTTTGAAGACCAAAGAATGTGTTAAGTAAGCTTAAATTATCAGTAATATCTTTAAATATGCATATAAAAAATATATGGTAATGTGCTAAAATGTTAACTCTGAGTAGAATATTCTGTGTAATTTAGCTTTTTATGCATTTTGTATTATTGTTGAAATTATCTCATAAATGTATATTTTCATTATCTGAACAAATTAACATTTAAAAAATTGATGTATACAATGTTCTAAATGTGATATGAGACAAACATACTTACATAAAAATATATGACCAAAAGGAACCAACTAAAAGAGCTCCCAATGGCCAAAGCTGGAATGACTTGAGCAACAAAGTAATGTAGTACTGGATTCTAATCCAAAATATAAAATAAATATCCACAGGTCCATACTGATATAAACAAATGATTGAATAAATTAATAAATAGTGGAGAAGAGATCAGTCTTCTGTGCAGAAAAGTTCCAAATTATTGATGTAGTCACTCCCCACTCCTTAAGTGTGAGCTGTGCGTGGTGACTTGCTTCCGAAGAGTGGGGTGTGGTATTGGGGGATCATGTTTGCAGTGGAGAAACTAGACAATCACTATCTCAGGTGGGTGATCAAGGTCAACATCATGGTCATTAAGGATGTTGATAGTATGTAACCTTGATGTGATGTGATAAAAATGGCACTTTACCTATATGATCTTCCTCCTTCAAATCCATAATCCCATCTAATCATCAGACAATATCAGACAAATCCCAACTGAGAGGCATCCTGCAAAATACCTGACTACTCTTCCTCAAAACTCTCAGGGTTATTTAAAAAATGATAATAATAATAAAAATAAAGAAAAGAAATTCTGAGAAACTGTCACAGCCCAGAGGAGCCTAAGGAGACATGAGTAAATGTAATGTGGTGTTCTGGATGGGATCCTGGAACAGAATAAAGACATCAGGTAAAAACTAAGGAAATCTGAATAAAGTGTGGAGTTTAGTTAGTAATAATGTATGAATATTGCTTCATTGATGGTAACAAATATACCATACTTATATAAGATGTTGAGATGGATATGATGTTAATAATAAGGGAAACTGGGTGCTGGGTGTTTGGGAACTTTCTGTATTATCTTCTCAAGTTTTCTGTAAATCTGTTTTAAAAAACAGTCTTTTTTTTTTTTTTTTTTTTTTGAGGAAGATTAGTCCTAAGCTAACATCTGCTGTCAATCCTCCTTTTTTTGTTGAGGAAGACTGGCCCTGAGCTCACATCCGTGCCCATCTTCCTCTGCTTTATATGTGGGATGCCTACTACAACATGGCTTGCCAAGTGGTGCCATGTTCGTACCTGGGGTCCGATCCAGCGAACCCCGGGCCACCAAAGCAGAATGTGTGCACTTAACCGCTGCACCACCAGGCAGGCCCCAACAAAGTCTATTTTTAAAAAAGATTTCCTTGTCCTCCAAACACAAAACTTCCAAAAATGGAAACACTTCCATCAACTGTTCTGATGGGAGTGTAGGTCCAACTGCTCAAATAGGAGAACTTATGTGCTATGATTTGAGAGTGACTTTCACCGATGAAGCCAGTCACTTTATTTCCTGAGTTCCTACAGGCTTCTCTGAACGTGAGATATAAATGCCTCCCTGAGGATCTATGCCTTGTGTGTTTGGAAGGTTTAGGGGAGGGAGAGAAGAGCACTAACAGAAAGTATTGAGCTATACTATTTCTTTTTGTCCCCTGGATGGTGCATTTTACCTGTGCAACAATGTGATTTTGTCAAACTGAAGTTAAAGCTTTGCCTTTTCTTTTATACCAAAACAGTTTTGTAACTGTCAGCTCAAGTTGGTCTTTTTCACCTTCCTCCTTCTTGCTGTGTTGGGCTTAAGTTAGCCTGGGATTTGCATCATTTGTTGATGCTGGATGTTGGGTTGTAGCTGTGTCCAGAAATCTGGTGCCAAGAATTTGGGAGTACTGGCACTGAGGAAAAGTTTTGTCTCTATTTTGAAAATTTTAAACATAATGCAATACTACATGTGTTTCATATATATTGTATATATAAATATACTATAACATTATACAATAATAGAACATTTATGTACTTACTATCCAAGTATAACAAATATTAGCAGTTTGTCATATTTGTTCCAGATTTTTTAATGAAAGAAATAAAAAATTTAAAAATATATTCCCAAAAAATCCACTAGAAAAATACACAAAAAGAATCCATTCTAAGAATTTTTTATTGTACTTAGAATCAAGTAGGAACTTAAGATGTACAATCTCAGGAAAAGAAAAATAAAAATTACAGAACAATGCTCTCAGAAATAGGAAATTAATGGACATCTGTACTCTTAAGAGGAGGGAAAAATATCAGACAAGTTTCCTCTTATAGCGTCAGGAAATAATTTACTTCAAAAAAACACAAAAAGACTAAAACACAACCTTGAGTCTATGTTTCCTGGAAAAATACAATTGTTGCCGCGCGCACACACACACACACACACACACCGCTGCTAATTTGCTCCAGTGTTTTTTCTTTCTGGAATTTCCAAATCACCAAGAGGTCAAATTTACTTTGCTTCTGATTTCTTTGTCTCTTGCTGTCTTAGCAACCACCACCTTATCACTTACTATCATACTCCTTGATTTTAACAGTTGAGCAGTCTATTACATAATGACATAGTGCTGTTAGATTTTATCACTAATCATTTTACTTATTTATTTACTCATTTTATTTTATTTATTTTTAGTTAATTTTTTTCCCTCCCCAAAGCCCCAGTGCATGGTTGTATATCTTAGTTGTAAGTCACTCTAGTTCTTATATGTGAGCCGCCACCACAGCACGGCAACTGACAGACAGGTGGTGTGGTTCCACAACCGGGAAGTGAAACTGGGCCACCAAAGCAGTGAGTATTGAACTTTAACACCTAGGCCATCAGAGCTGGCTCTATCACTAATAATTTTATGATTACATATCTTCTCTCTCCAACTGGGCCATATATTGTTTAATAAGAGATTGTTATAATTTTAGAGCCCCAGAGCTCAGTGATTTGAGAAGTCATGCACATTGTAAATCATCAATAAATACATATTGCTTGATTGAATTAACTGATATTCTTAATGTATATAATCAGTAGTTGGTTTGTTTAACTTTCTATATTAACTCAGAGCAAATGTCCTCTATTCCTGAGATCATCACTAAATTCTATTAATATTTGAAAGCCCATCTTGAGTCCATACTTCTGTAAGAAGCCGTTTAGGCTCACCAAACCACAGAACTTGACATTTTAAATCCATACAATTCATTTGGAAATTTACCATGTACTTTTTGGGGATAATTCATATTTTAATTTATGTAGTGCATTGTATTTGCATTTGAGTTACCTTGTAACTTACATTTTCACACTTGTACATTTTGCAACCATACTATGAGCAAATAGATAGCAGAGATCCTTCATCCTGAAGTCAGAAGCGAGACACTGACTGATTCTAGGACCCTGATGCCATGCCTGTGAGTGCTCCCTAGATGTTTGTGAAACAAACAAATAAAGAACTTACACCCTCCAATCCTCAGTTACTTCATCTATAGATAGATGTAACTGTATCTAACCTAGAGGAATATTGTTAGGACTGATAGACATAACATGTTAAATGTAATCATTTATAATGTAAAATGTTTATTTCAGGATATGTCATTGGCATTTGCCTCCCTTTTAGTTTCCCACAGATTTAGTGTATTTTCTTTGTTGGGATTCCCAAGACATCTTTCTTTTGGTCTTTGAAGGAAAATAAACCCAATTCATCTTTTATTCCTTTTCTCACTGTACCCCATTTATTTCCTTCATGGCACTTGCCGTGATGCATAGTTTTTGGTGTGCCCACCACTTTACTGTTAGTATCATTCTCTAGACATCCGAGCACACTGTACATTGTTCACCTCTATGATCCATGTGTACCTTGCAGTGAGCCTGACAACCCGTTTAGACCTTCTTCTGAGGATATCACATTAGAGCTGCATAAACGTAGCCTGCACTCCTGGGTCACTTGCCTGAGTCACTCTCAGGACAAAAAGAAACAATCTCTGCTCCCTAGCTCCAACCCTAATGGTGAAAGAAAGACAATGAATTATTCTTAATAATTCATTAAGAATTATTGAATTCTTAATTTCCTCTGAATTCCTCAGTGGAAAGAGAAGGAATTGTTCTTTCCTCTGAGGGGTGTTGGAGGGGCAGGGGCAGGAATAGGTGGGAAATTCCTCCCCTGGGCTGGGATGGGCATTGGCTCCTTCGAGAGGTCTATTAACTCCTTCAGGACAAGAGGACACATTTCTTAAGGACCTTCTTAAGTAGGAGTTTTCTAATATTTGAGTGCATAAAAATATTTGAGTGCATAAAAATCACTGAAGGAGTTTGTTAAAAATGCAGATTTCCCAGCCCCACCTGCTGGGAGATGAATTTGTTAGGGCTAGTGCCCAGGAATCTGCATTTTAGTCACAACTTTTCCCCTCCCCATTATGTTGATGCGGATGCTCCTCTGGCCCCAGTTCAGGAAGCATTATTAGGCTACCAAGAATTCTTTTCTTCCAATTGGCCCTTCCTTGGCAGGGCCAGGCCAGTTCAAAAGCCACATCTAGTACAAATTGGGCTAGTAGGATGATACCTTTACTGCTCAGTTGGTTGTTTTGGCAACATTAATTCTAGTAGAACCAGAAGCAATCAATAGATTTAGTCATTTAGATCCTCAGGAATTTAAAGATGGACTCAAGACCCAAAAACTCTGTCCAGTTTACAGAGTGTTCCAAGAAATGTGTGGAAGAAGATCAAGATGGTGAAGGATTTAAAAACCATGACATACGCAAAGTGGCTGAAAGACCTGATGGCTCTGAAGGACATGGGAAAGGAGCTACAGCATTGTTTTCATAATCTGGGGTGAGCAGAGGGGCATTCATTCTGTATGGCTCCAGAAGATAAAATATATGTTTATCCCAGCAGATTGTACCCTGATCTATACCCCACCATCCAGTGCATTCAACTCAATTATTTGTCTCACAAACATCACTGTTGATCATGATGACATCAATTTTTATAGCAAAAATAAATTTAAATAGTGATCAACATTTGGTTAAATCTTTGAAGCAGAGAACAATACTTTACTCTCTAGTAATTCCAAATTATCCATCTACTCTCCTCATTCTATCTCCAACTCTTTGCTCATTGAGTTTCCACTCTTTAAAGTGTCTTTCCTCCTACTTCTCTAACTCGTGACATTATATTTATTCTTAAAATTAGACAACTCTTCTAGGAAGCCCTCCTTGATTTGCAGGCAGAGCTAATTCTCCATGGGGCTCTTGTGATTCTACAAGTCTTGTGAGTGAGGAACTAACTGTCCTTCTGTTTCTGGCTGTCCTTTCAAGGATGGTTATATAGTGAGCAGCTTTGAAAGATAGATATAGTGTCTCCCTCTGAAGGACATAGAAAATTTCCTTACTGCTTAGTATGAAAGATTCAGGTTCCCTAAACTCACGGGTGCTCAGCTGTGAAGCAAGCCCACTGCTTGTGCAACATCCATTTGGATCCCTCTCCATCACCCTTGTGGGAATTGCTGGGCAAAGGAAAGTGATGCAAACATGACACTCATGCTTGTGTTGTGAGTCATAGAATTCTTTGTCTTTGATCCAGAAGTCTAGTGTCTTCTGCCAGCTTCCATCAAACTGAATTAGAATAATTTGTTAGCTTGCAAAATGGGTAAAATCTCAAATCCTTCACAGTTCTTGATACGTGGTCCCCCAGTTGATTGCTTTTATCATAGTATTATTCATCTTCTATACGATTAATTCAGCATAGAAAGAATAAGTAAGAGAAGTAGGCAACTGTTCCTTGTTCATCTTTGCTTTCCCAGTATCCAGCACATGGCAAGCACTCTCACAGAAGAGCTTCTACTTAAGAACAAGTGAAGCTTCTAAGCCTATATATATATATATATATATATATATATATATATATATATATGTATAAGGCTATTTGCTTCAAAGTTTAAAATGACACTATTTAGCGAAAGATAACAGTATCTGTTAGTGCTGGAAAGAGTCAATGTGCTTTTGCTTGTAGGGGTACCTTTTGTTTATCAGCAATCGTTTACAAATTTAAAAATTTGTAATTAGAGAAATTTGGTTAACTTCAACTGAGCTGAGCACTCAGTAAATTGCTTGGATTAAATTAAATCTTTATTATTTGCAATTCCTTCCTCTAAATGCACTTATTGAAAGCAAAGAAAACTTCTTAGAAGAGACAAGAGCAGTAGGGGTGAAAGTGAGGGTGAAGTTATGAAAAAATCAGGAGCAATGTAAGGACACGTAGTTAGGGCTGGGAAAAAGGTCTCTCAGGGGATGAGAAATGGGTTGGTTCATGGGAACATTGTTAGGCCCATTTAGCCAAGGTGCCAATCAGGAGCTCTCTGCTAATCTTTTCCAACTAATTTTTACCTCTAGTTGTTTCCTAATGATCATTATCATCAACTTCTTATACCTTCCATAATTTAGCACCACAAGCAGTACAAACATATGACCCAGAATCAGAAATATACTTCCCCCATGCACATTCTAAATGAATGTTGATAAGCCATCCTAGCATTCTTTTCTTCTAAACCAGGAATCTCTTTCTCTACCTAGTTCTCCAGCTACCCATTACCAATTAAGAGGAGCTGATACATGCATTTTACGTGCAATCGAGGACAAATCCCTCTGGAATAATTTTTTGGAATGAGATGTAAATAAATGATAAATCTTCCCAGAAGAGTAGCCCTGAACAAATGATAAGCATAGTCCACCCGGCCCTGAAGAAGTGCAATCGACAGTAACTTTTAGGATCAAGAATCCAGCTCCCGCAGAGATGAGCACCAGATTTTATACAAAGCCGGACACACTTGACCACAGCAGCCCTACATCTCTTTGGCTCACCCGCTTTCTCTGCCCTCCCCACTGCTTTTTCCTCACAGAGAGAAGAGGAACAGCAGAAAGAAGAGAGTGGATAGGAGGGAAGTTCCTATAATATGAGAAACACACTAGAAGAAAAATCACTGTGAAGCAACGTGTCCTCAATGCCTTCTGTGGCACAGTATATACCACTTCTAAAGCTTCTGAGATCCTTGGGAAATGCACTGTATATCTTTGGGGAAAACCACCAAATGTGGTGGCAACCATTCGGTGTTAGTGAAGATGGGAGAAATGAGGGAGCTGTGTTGTTTTCCAGACGGCCTTTTGTATCGTGGTGTTCTTGCCCACCAGCACCACAGCTTTCCCATAGAGAAACATACAGATCTGCTGCTTCTACTTGGAGCCTACATTGTCTGCTCCAACATAAAGCATTTTGGATAATCATCCAATAGTTGGACAATCTGAAGGAAGGAGTTGTACTTCCAGGTCACCCTGTCTTCCCTGGGCATCCTGGTAGTGCATCAGGGATTGCCACATGGGTTTAAAGATGAGGCACGAGGATGCCTATTGAGAGGAGGCCCAACATTTTCAGAGAATCTTGGTAGTTAGGCATAAAACCAAATATTTATTTACAAAAATGTTTGCTCCACTATGACTCAGAATAGAAAAAAGATCCTAAATTACCAATAATAGGGGCTTTGTAAATAGTTTATTTGATGCCAATACATTGGAATCGTACTATTGAGTTATTTAAAAAATCTTAAGTGGAAATCTATTCAAGTGAGAAAATATCTCTAAAATGTTGTCAAGAGACAAAGAAAGACACAGTAGAATGTGTATAATATGATCTCCATTTTATGGCATATATGGAAAATATTTATACAAAAGTATTCATGTGATTATACTAGATGGTTGAGATCATGAATGAGTTATTGATTTTCTCTCCTCTTTTTGTAATTTAAAATTTTTTTACATTAAATAATTATTATTTATGCAATCAGAAAAAGTGTATATTAACAAAATAGTGACAAATAAAATCTCTTGGGAAGGATGGTGTGGCCTTTTTGAGAAATACAAGCAAGTTTGGGAGAAAGCTAGAAGACTAATAAAACACGTACTACGTGAATGGCTAAAATGAAAGACAAGCAACTCCATGTGTTGGTGATATTGTAGATTAATCAGAACCCTCCTGTGCTCACAGTGGGAGTATGTGTTAGTTTAAGTACTTCGGCATATTATTTGGCAGTATCTAGCAAAACTGAACATGAGCACTCTCTAAGACCCAGTAATTTCACTTGTGAAAATACCCCTAGAAGAAATGCATACAGATAGTCCCCATAAAATATGTATAAAAATGTGCATGACAGAATTATTTGTGATAGTCCCAAACTGAAACCAACTCAAATATGCATCAAGAGTAAAATGAATATATAAATTATGGTGTTTTCATACAACAGTGAAACAATGCTATATACAACAATGTGGATGATTTTCACAAATATAATATTGAGCAAAAGAAGCCAATATATACTGTATTCTATTTATATAACATTAAAAAAACAAGGAAAAGTCATCTATGTGTTATATATCGAGATAGCAGTTACTTTTAGAAGGGTAATGCCTGCCACGGGGCATGAAGTGGTTGGTAATGTTTCATTTCTTGATTTGGGCGCTGCTTACATGGTTTCTGGACTTGTAAAAAAAAAAAAACCATTAAACTGAACACTTGTACATGTGTCACACTTTGATGAAATGTGTACTTTAAGAAAAGTTGCTAAAGAAACCATTTATGTATGTTATATTAAGTTATCTGGTGGAAGGATGAGTTAGAACACGATTTAAAAAGAAAAAGATTAAAGGTAAACCTAGTTGCCAGAAAACCCAACTTGGTCTCAAACTTCTATGTGTGTTGGTTGAAGTCTCCTAGGCAGGACACAGGTTCCAAACATGTTTTCCTCTTTGAATTTCCTGAGCTCTGACTTGGCTCTTCCAGTAAGTTCTTGACTTGGCCCCTCTTGGTAGCTGTCTGATCTTGGTGCTCCAGACCTCGGCTTCCTGCCTGACTCCAGCTTGGCTTAGCCACATGTGTGACCCCAGGTCCCCACCCCGTGGACTGACTTCATGTCCAATCTATGGCTTCATCCCCTCAATTTTCGCCCCCACATCAGCAGTCTCTGAGAAGCTTACAAGCTGAGTTGATGAAATCACTATTCAGATAAACCTTTTCAGGAAAAATAAAAATATTAAAGAAGATTTACTTGGTAGACAAAAATAATTGTCTCTCTCTGTTATGGCTTTGGTAAAGCTACCAGAAACAAAAAGTCTAGAACTCTCCATCACAGAAAAAAGACAGTAAGGTAAGAGTCGTAAATGCAAATGCCCAAAGGAGCCAGGCAGATAAAAAATGATTAAATTTTTGTAAAAAATTTCTTTTTCTATTAAAAGAAAAGCATATCCTCTTTTCTATTTTTTCTAAAATTATTCAACTCCCAGTCTAAATTTGTGGTACAGAGAAATAGGTGTTTGCTATATCTATGAAGAGTAACCTTGCAAATAAAATCATTAAATGCAACTCTTCTTGGGGCAGACATGTACTGTAGTAAAGTGTAGGGCTCACGGCTTGTCTACAGTAGGGAGCTGATATTCTGTTCCACCTGTCTGATGCTGCGGAAAAATGTAGACCCCGTGTAAGAAGAGACAGAACCTACATTTTTAGGTAAAATCTCCAGACTTATAAATTTTAGTTAAAAAAATTAAAAGACTGTGAAAGTCAAATAAAAACTATATGGGGCTGGGTTTGGCTCATGGGTCACTAGTTGATAACCCTTCCTACAAGCTAGTTGTGTATTCATTACATTCATCCCTTCATGAAAGAAATTCCAGAGGAATACTTGTAACGAAAAGAACTAGGAATCCTAGTTTTTGTATGCAAAAAACTTATATGCAAAAAACTGCATACAAGTTTTGGACCAAGCAAGGAAGAGTCAATGTCAACCACTTTTTCTCAGATTCAGAGACAGAATCAGATTTAGGTAGTAAGCCAATTCACTCATTTATTCATTCTTTCAATGAACATTTATTGGTCAGCTGCTCCCCAGATGTTCTTCAATTTGGTTCAGTTAGAATTATATAATTATGTTTAAATGGACAACAAAATGTAATCAAATTCACAAACCAAGAAAGCTTTCAGTGGAATGATAGGCCAGGACTTAAGATTCAGAACCCATGAGCCCTCTCTGGGAAAATTTTTTGGCATCAGCTTTTATGGTTACTCAAGGGTTAGTCATGGAGTCTAGAAGAAAATTAAAGACCACTGAAGGCTGACTTTTTAACCAAAGTCTTGTCATTGCTCAATTCAAATTCAAGACAGAGATGCAGAAGATAGAGCAAAGGCTTCCTAGACACAAGCAATTAAATAAATTAATTCATGCTGAACCATATTTGGAAGTGGAAATGGCAATTTGGACTAAGATTCTAAGAGCTAAGGAGAGGCCCAAGGGCAAAATTTCATACATTCCTAAGTGGTCCTGCTATTCAACTTCTCAGTTTATTTTTGTTCTAAAAGGAAAGGCGCAAAGAAGAAAATGAAATGTCTGTCATCCCAATTACCCTTTTTTTGTTTTCTCCTTTCCCTAATAGGAGGAGAGTTGAGGTCACTACTCTTTTTTTGTTGTTGTTACTGTCTCTGGAGTCTAGATATTCCTTACATATACAAGCCAATCTTTAATAAATATTTTTCTTCTCACTATACCACCCAAAGAACCCAAATACTAATTCTTTCAAATGACACCAATTACCCTTTTATGCAACATGAGTTCTCCAAGCTACTCAGGGACTTCCCAGAGAAGATGCTGAAGCTGCCAATTTAACCCACATTGGGTGCAGAGCCAAAGTGAATCCTTTCCTGTAACCAAAGGGCGTCTTCTGAACTTTGTTTACAGAATTCAATTTCTTCTCTCTTCAGAGTTTGTGACAAAGAAATATGAAAATATTCTTTAGCGTTCCCAAGGTCAAGATCATAGAACAAAAGGGCCTTGTGGTTTGTTCCTTCTTATCAACATTTTGTGCAGATGAAAAAGAACTGCTAAATTTCCCTAAATTAAGGTAGTCAAAATTGTGTCTGATTTAGGAAAAAAGAAAAAAACTTGGACTGGATTTGTTTGCCTAGCCCTCATCCTCAATAGAAAGGGAAGGAAATGTTTGGCAAACTCTCCCTGTTTGCCCGTAAACTTCCCAGGCCCATATTCCTTTCTCTGTACCTCCTTCTTCTGGCCTGACATTTGCTGATTTTGAGGCATAGGATGGTGCCTTGGTGAGCACAGCACAATGCTCCTGTCTCGCAGATTGCTCTGCAGTGACCTTCTCTAGAAGAAGACAGTCTCTGAGGGTCACTAGTATGATGGAAAAGTCCTAGATTTGGGCTCAGAATTCTACCTAGACAAGTCAATCTCAATAGCTTCAGTTTTCTTGTCTGTATGATGGGGATAAATATTCATATCACATTGTTGCAATAAAAACTAAATTAAATTAAGAGTATGAAATATCCAGAATGGTACCTTGTACAAAGGAAGTTCCCAATAAATGATGATTGCATTTAAATTCCTAAGAGAAATGGCATCTGGAACACTGATCATAAGGTTGTGTATTATTCGCAAAGCTCCAAGAGAACAGGCAACCTGAATTATTTATCAACATGTCTCTTTTCTTGGTTTGAAAAAGCCTGAAAGCTCTAGAATTTTACTAAACTAAGCACATATTATTTCTTCAGAATAGACACAGGCTCCAAGTTGTGCTACTAGGAACACCATCAGAGGAGAACTCAAACACATTTTTCTCCCCTAAATGAACACTTAAAAGTTTCACAATTCCAAATCCAACTATCCAGAAAATTAATATAAAGGTTAAACAGGGCAAATGTTTTTAGTTGGAAATCCTGTTGATTTTTCTTAATCCAAACATTTTACAAATCTGAAAAACAGATTGATTATACTCTAAATATTCACTTTGTTGTATTTGGTTTCATTTGGTTAAAGGGCTGTGGGATCTGGCTAGGCTTTTCACCCAGAATCAAGGATCACTCTCTGAGGAAGAACAAACCCACTCACTCTCTTGACAGACTAACAGTTGGTACTCTTCGAAGAGACTATGCGGGGAAAACTGCATGTGTGTACTTCATTTAAAACAAATCTTTTATTGACATATGATATAGCTACATAAAAGTGCGTACATCATAAGTGTACAGCTCAAATAAATTTTACAAACTGATCTCACCCATGTAACCAGCACCCAAATCAAAAAACAGAACAACATTAGCATTTTAGAGACTCCTGGTGCCCCCTCCTCAGGACTGCCCATCCAAGGGTAACCTGATAGCATAGAGGAGTCTCGCCAGTTTTTGCACATTATATAAAATGACTTATGCAGTAGTTACTCTCTTTTGGTCTGGTTTCTTTTGCTCAACACTATGTTTGTGAGACTGATCCATATCTTTGCAAGTATCTGTAGATCAGTGTAGTACTTCACTGTGTGAATATATCATAATTTGTTTACCTATTGTGTTGATGGATACTTGGGGCTTTTCCATTCAGTTTTTGGCTTTTATAATGTGTTTTTACAAAAGCGTTGCAATGTGCTTTCTAGCACTTGTCTTTTGGTGAGCATGTGTATGCATTTCTATTGGTTATATACCTAAAAGTGGCATGTAAAAATTTTAAAATAAGCATATCTTTAGTTTTAGTAGATAATGCCTAACAGCTATCCAAAGCAGCTGTGCCAAAATAGACTCCTGCCTGCAGCATATGGGAATTCTGATTGATCCACATCCTCATCAACACTTGGTATTGTCAGTCTTTTTCACTTAGCCATTCTTATGAGTGTGTAGTGTTATTATGCAGAAATCACATGCGTGTTTTGAAATGAATTTATTTGTATAAAGAAAAAATGATATATCATCCTGGCCCTGAAGAAGGATAGTCAGAGAAGTAGTTTTTAGGATTAAGAATCCAACTCCTACAGAGATGAGCTGGTTACACATTCTTCACAAGGTACAGATACATTTGACTACAGCTTAGATGTGAGTTACTGGCCATGGCTTAGAGTTTTTGAGACCGAGACTCAGATATACCGAAGCCACAAATGAGCTATTTAACTTTCCAGGAAGTAATACTCTTCCTGTCCAGAACTGGCGCCTCCAATGTTTGCTAGCAACCTTGGAAACAGAGATCCGTCATTCCCTAGGGCTACGAATAGAGTGGGTAGATGGATCACCAGAAAGCCATCAGGGAGATCAGAGAAATTCAAATTTATGGGCTTTCCCAATGCTGCCACTATAAAATTCATCATTATATACCTGATATAAGAATTCCTTTTGCTGTGTTAAAGTACTTGTTAAGCATAGAGTTTGGTACCTAGCTGCTGGGATCTGACTCCTGGGTTGACTAGTTACTGGCTGTCTGACCTTGCCCAAGTTTCTAAGCCTTTCTGTGCCCCAGTTTATTCATCTGTAAAATGTGGATAATAATAGTATCTGCTAAAAGGGTCATCGTGAAGATTAACTGTGAGTTAAATGAGTTATATAAAGTGCTTAGAAGAGTGCCGAGCACATAGAAGGCATTATGTATTTCCCATTATTTCATAGTATTATATCATGAAGCTGTGCTCCATCACCTAAAATAACCCTCCAATAGTCCTTAAAGTCTAGCATAATGTGTGGACAGATTCTCCTTCTAGAAAATCTGTGGACAAAGGTGGAGAAGTTACTAGCCTTACACCAAGTCAGGAGTCACGAATTACCAAGTCAACTGTGCTGATCACTATAACTTATGGGATCTCCTCCATCTGTGAGATTTTCTAGCTCTGAGATGGGGCCAAGGAGTGAGTATTGGAATGAGAGATGTGGCTTAATATCTGGGCTTGCTAGCATTTTCATCTTGGAACTTCTTGCCTATTTCAAGGATGAAATAGACCAGTTGACAGAATGAGAAGACCTAGAAGATCCTAGAAGAACTTATCCAGAAGTCAATCAAGAAATAAAGATTAGTCTAGCTGATCAGTTGTATTTGTTAGGATGCACTGTTGAAAATAACAGAAAATCCAACTCAAAAATGCCCAGTGATAAAGGGAAATTCAGTGTGTGTGGACAATCAAGTTTC